AAAATTTCCATCATTTTTGTCATGAGACGAGTGGAAGGTACGGACTTTCTCCCGAAAAAGAAAGATGTGAAAATTGAAGTTTTGTATTTGAACTTCCCTAAATAAAAATTTTGAAATAGTTTTTGTACTTCCACAAAAGAAAATAATGAAAAAGAGAAGAAGTTTTGAACTTCCTCCTTGAGCAAGACAAAATAAATCGTATGGATTGAATTGCTTGTCTTGAAAATAATGTATGCATGCTGCATGTTCTTAGGCTAGGAGGCTAAGGAAAATTACATCATGTGAAATGATAGATGACTGAATTGAACTTAGGTCATGGAGCTAAGCATCATATATGGTGTAAAGAAACGATCTTGAACGTCACTTAGGTCTAGAACCTAAGCACGTATATAGATGAAGTGATTATTTAGTATTACATAATGAATGTTTCATAGGTCAAGGAGCTAAGCACGATATGCGATACATGAAACAATGAATTTTGCTTAGGTCAGGAAGCTAAGCAAGTATACAATGTTTCTTCTAATGAATGTTGTCTTGAAAGATGATGAAGCATGCACAATGTTGAAACAAGATTTCATGAAAAAGGGTTCTTAAAGGGAAAGATCATATGGATATGGATATGGATGTGTGATTGAAGTGTGTGAATGTGATACTAAGGCTGGATGCAAAGTGTATGGGGATGGAAATTTATGTGAGAAGAGTCAAAATGGTGACTCTTTAGGATGGGTAGTCTAAATGATGTGGGATCAAGCCCCCAAGTCTAGCTCTAGATGGATAGGATCATAGGATTAAGCATTCGATATTCTTTGACGCGATTATTCATATGAATGTGGCCGCACCTCAATGTGAGGTTGCCTACGTATCCGTTAGGAATCAGGCCGAACATAGCTCTAACCGAACTTTGCACAAGTGTGTGCACACCTCAAAGTGGTCTTTCAAGGGTTGTAAGGTTGTTAAGCTGAAGGTTTAAGGAAGAAAGGCATAAAATGCTCAAGACCCAAGAGAAGCCCCCAAGATATGCAATTATGTATTAGACTTTGCAAGTTTTATTTTCAACATTTTTAGAATTTCTTTTTCTTTTTTCATTATTTTGAATCAATGTAGGCAATCTCAGATCATGCGGTCGGTTACTCACTTAGCATTCATGTTTCTCAGGTACGGTACCAAGCACTCGATGAGAGATGCAATTTGAGACGTGTTCATATCAAAGACATTGGAACTCTTGCCTTTAGACATTGTTTTATTGTTGCTTTGCTGCTTTTTTTTTTTACTTGCTTTTTGAATTTTATACAGTTACACATCTTCCAATCCAGGCCAAATGTTAAACGAGGCTCAAAGTGGTTGATGAAGAAATGGAATGTGATTGAACGGTTAACAGGGAATGACAGGGTTGCAAAGGTGCCTCAAGTCATTGGTGTACCTTGTGTTTAGTTCGGTAATTGATTTTTTTTTAATTTTTTTTAGAATGAATGAAAAATGCTATGATCGAGATGTAAAAGAAATTTGCTCATTTTATTAATGGAAATGGTGAACGAAACACATGAAACATATAAGAATTCGAAATGGATAACCTATGCTAGACATGAATGGGGGAATGGAGATGAATGATAAAGAAGAAAAAAAATAAATCATGAAATCTTGCACGAAGGATCTATTGTGCGCCTTGTGTTCATTACTTCTTGCCGCCTGGAGGGACAGGAAGTTTGTTTGCATCTACCAATTCTTGAATGACGTCATTCAGATTCCAACATTGCTCCGTAGTGTGGCCCCTTCCTTGATGGTACTTACAATGGGCATTGGGATTTCATTTGGCGCTCCTTTCTTCAGGTTTTGGCTCTGGAAATGGCCCAATAGGTGTGATCAAGCCTTGACTGTAAAGGCGATCAAAGGCCGCATAATAAGTCATTCCTAAAGGAGTGTAAGTTCTTTTCTTCTTGGGCAATGGAGTATCAAGAGCTAACACTTGATTGAGATTAACTTGGCTTATATTTTTGGTAGTATTTTCGTGCTTAGAAGACGAAGAAGAAGGATGGTCGTTCTTCTTTTTTTCCAAGTGTTATTATTGTAACTACCAGCAGTCTTTATTAGCTCATCCTCGATATTGATGCCGATGTCGTACACAGCTTCGAAAGTGTTTAGTGGAAGAAATTAGAGATGTTCCCTATACTTGTGAGTCAGATTTTGAATAAAGAGGCGAAACGTCTCTCTTTCTTTAAAGGATCTACCAAGAGTGAAGCCGTTTCCCTCCACCTGTTTAGATAAGCGGTGAAGCCTTCATTCTCTTTCTGTTTGAGAATGGAGAGTTCACGTTCAGAAGTTTTAGTTTAGTTTGAATGTTACACTTGTAACGATTCATGAAACTGTCGGTCACATCTTGCCAATTCGTCGTACGCTTGGCATCTAGGGAATAAAACCATTGTTGGCAAGCATGTTATAAGGAGAGAGGGAACACCGTAGGGAAGAGTGTTATGTCCAATTCTTTTAAGAGAAATTGTTGCAGAGAACGCCTTCAAGTGGAATATTGGATTGTCAGTAGGCTTGAACTTTGGAATATCAGAAGTGGAGAACTTTTCAGGGAGTTTGTCCTTCACATCCAAAGGAGTGGGAGGTCGTTCCACATAGGTGAAATCCACATAAATCTTGCTCTTTTGCTCTTTGATCTTGTCCATTGCAGCCGCGGTAACATTGTTTTGCTCTACTATGTTGACTCTAGTAGTGAGTGCTTGCGACATGGTAGACGTTGTTTCAATGGACTTGTTAATGCTCTCAATATCTTCCTTAGTGGCCATTGGGATAAATTGAAAGTAGTTTAAAGGTGATGAGTGATGTGGAGATGGTGAAGTTCTCTTCTAAGAGGTTGATGCAGTAACGACTCAAACCGTACCAATCTACCCCTGCTCCTTGACCAAGTAAAGTAAAATGAAATAAATTCACTTAATTGTTTGACTCATTGCTTAAGATATGAAAGGAAGGAAAAAAAAGACATTGGAAAACAGGTGAGAAAACTCCACTCATTTTTTTATTATGACAAAAAAAGGGTGCATGAACCTAGTATACGATCATAAACGACCTGGTGCACGACTCAAGTCGGAACATAAATAAAGTGTGTGGACTATACTTGACTCGTGAGTGATTGAGTGATGCTATAAGACTCGTGGTATGATCAAATAGCACGAAAGACTAAAAGACAAACTAAATTGATTAATTTTGTCCAATTTTAATGTTTATGCTATTTACTAGGTGAAAACGGTCCATTGGAAATCATTAGTCATAATAATATCAACAATCAAAGACAAAGAACACATGTTAAGGTTAGCACAAAAATCGATCACAAGAAATAAGGAAGAGAACTAGAATTCTAGAAGAATTATTACTCATGGGTATAAAAAATAAATCTCTAATCCTATGTTATACGAGCTGACATGGATTAAAGGGCTTGGCTAAGACTAGCTTGACACTTAAAGATATTAAAAAAAAATTAAAATTAAGAAATTTTAAGCTAAAAAGACAACTAAACTGGACAGGCTTTAGTATAACGATTATAAATTTTTATCTATGATTCTGATTGGGACGAAACCAACGCCAAATGAAAGATAAAACTCGGGGCTACAGATACATAGTTGGCACGACACGTAACTCTTTATAAAAGTCTGTCTATGACCAAAAAAAGTTGACTATCTTGCAGTATACGGGAATAAAAGTCCGGGTGACACAAAAAATTAAAAAAAAAAAAATCAATGACTCGACTCTAATAAAAAAAAGGGTTTTGATACGAGAAAAATATAAATAAATAAATGAAAAGTAAAAAGAAATGCACACATAAGCACATTGTCACGCATGATGCAATGAAATTCGCAACCTAAAGTCAAGTTTTATGTTCGACTATGGTCAAACTTTTAGGTTTCAAAGGGTACCATGGTTAAGAGTTTGGACGCGTTAGAAATGCATCCTCCCTTGAGGTGTATGCCAACGGGCGGCTCCGTGAGTTCATGATGAAATCGAACTCGACTCCATGGTTTGGGTGGATTTAAAAACTCGGATGAACCCTTATTGCCATGAGCGTTTTCAGGTTGATAGAGCATAAATCCCCCAGGCTAGCCATATACGTAGAACACGTACTATTGTGGCAAAATAGGAAAGCTAAAATGCGTATGCATATGTGACAATGCCAATTAAATCACAGGAATATTTTTCAAGAATCTTTCAAGTCTCATCCACTCATCTCAATTAAATACCGATCACTCAAATTGATAAATAACCAAGAATCCTCCCCAGCGGAGTCGCCAAATTTTATGCGTCGTTTGAAGTGCGCCTACGTTAAGCATGTGGTGAATATGCTTGGCACTCATAGGAAGTGGGAATTGACATAATACGATTAGGGACAAGGAAAGTAGGGAGCCGCCAACAAGTTTTTAAGAAACTTGTAAACCGTTCACGAATCATAAAAGACAACCACACTAAAGGGACAATGAAGGCAACAACGATTGACACGTGAAGGTTACTCCCCATTCATAATCCATGAGATTACTAACTCCATATGGTTCGGAACCACGAAAGGAGGATCGGGGATGATGGTACGAAGTGACACTACTAGAATTTTCGCATAATTTCGATGCTTTTAAGGCCTATTTTCGACGCAAAAGAGCGTCGATTTTTTTTTTCTCGACGCTTTAAAAAATCATCGAAAAAACGTGAGTCGAGAAATTTATAGGACACAAAAAGCGTCGAGAATCTAAAAGTTTTTATACTAAGCTCCAAATTTTTATACTAAGCTTCCAGATTTGGATTTTTCACGCAACTTCTAAAAGTTTGCGACGCTTTTTCATGTCTATGATTATAAAGTTGTCGACACTTTTTACTGTCCTTAACGCCTAGTATATAATTTATCAACTTGTATATATTTTCCAAGTTGGTGACGCTTTTTAGCGACCATGTCATTAAAAAATGCTCTATACAATGAAATGCTTCGACAATTCCGTCTAGAATATTAGGGCAGGTGGTTGAAGACATCTTATAAATATCATTGTGCTACAAAAAATTCCAAAATAATTAAATAATTTTTTAAAAAAAAAAAAACTCATTTTATTGTATACAAATATTCATACAAGAGCAAAACTAGCTAGCAAAACAATGTTTCTAAGAAATTAGTTATGATATTACATTCTTTGTTATGAATAACAATTTGTTTAATCCCGCAAGAGAGTGGCGATATCGGAGGCGGCATTTCCTTGGATTACATTCACAAAGGCGCTCCCAGTGCTGCAAGACAAACAAACCGCATCATAAATACAAGAACCAAATATATGCATCCGTATTAATGTATCCCATGTTAAAACCGAACCAGTCCACGACCGCAATCATAAATATAAAAAAGAAACCAAGAAATTACGAGTCATATACAATCAACAAGAGTTCAAAGAACATGTGCAAGAGAAGGCAAAGTTAATCTTCCCATGCTCTTTTGCAACAGAGGTAGTATTGTATATTTTTCCCAAGTAAAACAGCCAATATTATATTAAAGGTACTCCCAAGATTACCAAGAATTAAAGTACCTTTAAACACACAAAAGTGGATGGTCTACAGCGACAGACAACAGCTGAAAGATACAAATAGTGCTGGCATATTATGAAAGTGGGATCCTGCAACAACATAGATCATATTATCAATTACTATAATTGATTTTCATAATAAAATCAGATAAAAGAGAAAAATAAAAATGGTTTCCAAATGAGGACACTATACCTACTCAGTGCCAACATACTCAGGATGTCTTCGGGGTGACATAACAGATGTTGTTTTGACAAGGCCCTTTTTCCAAAGCTGCTACCTCCCATTCTTCTCTTCTGTAAAGACCCTCAGTAACTCCTTATTCATGTACGGTGCTACTTTGGCATCACAACCAATCTGTTCAAATCACCAAAATAATTAAAAGAACCAGGAAAACACATCCACACACAGAACAGAGCTAACAAGCAGAAGTCAATAAAAGTGGAATGAAAAAATTGGCATCTTAAGATCACCCCCGAGTCTTCATTTCAACTCAAGGATGTGTATCAAATCCTCAACAATCTGACATATATTATTTAATACCAAGAACATATTTTCACTCATCATGTCAGGAAATTAAACACTTCTGTGCCAAACACAAGCACCAGAGTCACATTTCTTTAGTATATACACAAAATTATTAAAAATCATGTTCTCAGAATTGAGAAATATGTTTGTAAAGAAATTCCAATTATTAACCAAAAAACAAAAACAGCGAAACATGGATTGCAGGTGGCAAAGGTATACTGCTCTTGACAAGAAAAGAACTTATCAAGAGGAAAAAAAATGACAAATACTGACTTAATCACACAAAACTCAGCCTTCATATACTCCGATCCTATATTATTGAAAACAAAATAGTCAACAAAAGGATATATATAAAACTTGAAGTAACAAGATGTTCCGAACAATAAAAAAAAACATAGTGAGTGATCCACCATACAGACCATACCACACTATAATCTTAGCCTTATATATATATATATATATATATATATATATATAGCACTATAATTGGGAAAAATAATTTATAGAGTTCATTTGAGTCAGCCAACCTTAACAGCCACGCAAAGCACCTCATCATGAGAAAGTACAGTAGGCTTATGATACAGTTCTGATCCAAACCCTCCATGAGGTAACCAATCAGCAAGAGCAAAATTAGCAGCCTCAGCACAGTTCAAGCCTGAAATATCTAATGACTCAATATTTTGGAAGCTTAAATCAACAAACTATAATAGAAAAAAAAAAACTACAGTTTAATCATGTACATATATTTTACCGTAATTGCTTACCAAGATTGAAACCTCCATGATAAGATCTAGGAAATGTAATCACAAAGTTGCTGGCTCCTTGTAGAGAGGAAGCACCCAAGGAAAAAGAAAAAGGCAATTTACAATATAAGCAAGCCATTGAGAAAAAGACAATATACAAGAAATAATCAAAGTAATTCAAGTAATGAGGATTAAGCAAGCTCAAACAAATATAATCAGAACCACAAACAATATGATACCAATAAAGGTTTACAATAATCATCACAAAAGTTTAAATAATCAAAGTAATTCAAGTGATGAAGATTAAGCAAGCTCAAACCTAGTTTTTATGGATTCATTCTAATTCAATTAACAGTATGCATAATTTGTACATTATTAAGTTAGATCATCACTGAAAAGATTTTCATAATCACAATAAAGGAAGAAAGAAAAAATCTAGGTACCTTGTTCTTGGCACCGTCATAGCACCCCTTCTCCAAAAAAACTAATGCATTGAGCAACTATAAAAAAAAAATATAACAACTTATAAAACATTCCAAGAAAAATGGATGAACTTAGCTAATAAATTGAACTTTCTTGAATCCATGGAGAATGAAATAAATTGTTAAGAAATGTGCCAATATGCTCCATAATAAGAATGTTTTAGTATATAGAGATCAAATGCACACAAGGATATTCTGCTCTTAAGTACCATATATAAGCTTAGTATATGGATTGATTTATGTGTTAAGCATAAAAATTGTAGGTAAAAAAATGCATACCTGATCCATTGAATCTATCTTCTTTTACTCAAATCCCACCTAGTCATGACCACCACCTGTCTAGCACTCCCCAAAGCCACTATAACCATAGGGGAAAAGTTTCCCACCAGGCCACAAGGACCATGGTCTGACATACAACCATCCTTTCACCTCCAATATAATCTACTCTGCATAGTGAAAATCATCACCACACTAGATATATGTTTGCTACATCCTTATAAGAGGATTTTAATTAGTTATGTCATCGGTGGAACTCTGAAATTAAAAACGGCATTGAGGAAGCATGATTGACAATTTAACCCATCAATATTCATTCCAAATTTTAATTATCCCAATAATATATATCAAGCATTCAAATCAAGACATTTGTTAGATAGCATAAATTTAGAGCTTAAAGAAAATTTAAATTAAGACAAATAAGAAAAAATCTAGAAATTCATAACTTAAAGAAAAAAAATAAGAATTTACAGAAAAAAAAAACAAATGATAATTAAACCAAACAGTATTCATTTTAGATTTGCTAATTGAAACACAAAACCTTTAACCCATAATTTCTTACTGCTTTTCAACTTCTCTTTAGGAATTTACTTCTCAATTTCCATTTCAATCGAATCGACTGAATAAAAAATTCTTATAATGAAATCCACACATTTAATCAGATATACCATTTCTTACAACCGTAAATTTACCCAGATTTAAAAGTGAACCCTAATTTAAATGGAGATAACTTTCAATTTTCAAGGGGAATAATTCATGTAAAACATAAAAGAAAGAACATATTCAAATTAAGCACAAATCAAGAACTTAATTAAACAACCAGATCTAGGAGAAAACCCTTATAAATTAAAAATTTAAGAAGAAAGAAATTTGAATACCTAAAGGAATTGAACCTTTGAGCAAAACACATTTCAATCCGTAGCTTCAAAAAGAGATACTGCGATTAGAATAACATACTGAGAATGGAAGATGAATTGATTTACCATTTTCGGGGTTTGGGGTTGGAAGATGCAACATCGAGTAAATAAAAGTGGGTGCCATTTTTAATTCTTTAAAAATAAATGCACGGGTGAGGAATATAATGTATATCACGTGAAATATTCATTCACGACGCGGAAAAGTAATAGGATTTTTATTCGACAATGAAAAGCGTCGCCAAAACGCGGATAGTTCTAATTTGGTCTGACGGCTCTCTTGAGGTGTCGAGAGAAAAGCGTCGAGAATATGTAGTTTTTGTAGTAGTGTTAGTCATGAAGTCACATTGGCCCGTATTGGCCTCTACACGTTTCTTATAGTGAAAAGTGATTTCTGCGATCTCAAAGGCGTACAAACAAAATATTCAATTTGCTCCAAACTATTAATAGGCTAAATTGGTTAAATCTTAATGCAACACATAATTCTAAAATATTTGTGATCACTTGAATTTAATAACAAGATTAAAAAGTAAACTAAACTGGTTGTCCAAATTATCTTATTAGGCTTGATTTTCAAATACATATTCCCTTTAACATGCAATATGGTGATCAATAAAAATAATAATAGAATAAACATCAATATTGGAAGCAATTTAACAATAATAGCGTTAGTCAAATCAAATATAAATAAACCTAATCATGATACTAGAAATAAGAATAAAAATAAGAGTAATTAAGTTATTTGTTACTCACTTTATGCGTTTCCTTGAATTGTTACATCATGAATAAACTGTTAGTAACTTCAATAAAAATATAAATCAAATTGAATCAATTAAATTAAATAAAAATTAGATTTGATTCGGTCCAAACCCTTAGTTAATTATAACTTTCACGCCTTGGTTTAAGTATAGAAATTCGGGTATTGTATGGACTCCTTGGAGTGCTTAGGGGAAGTATTATGACAGAGTAGGGTGCATAGAATTTAGGCTAAATAGGGAGAAGAGAATTATTTTGTGATCAAGCTTCTTGATCCTTGAAAAAGGGGTGATATGACCTCTATTTATAAGGAAAAAAAAGGGTCGAAGAACCAAGAAAAGATAAGAATTCGAATCGGATAAAACTCTTGCGATAGACAGCAGTTTTTGTTTTTATCATATCTTTTGATCCAGAAATCCGAATAAGATAAATAAGATATGGTTAGAAAGCTATTTAAGTCTAAATTATAACCCAATTAGAATCAGATCAAAATATTTTGTATAATAAAAGATATGATCGAAATAGTGAGACGGTATCAGTTTTGGATAAAGTTTGACATTTTATTCATATCTTCTCTGTTATAGCTCAGAATTGATATTATAATATATCATTGGAAGAGATAATTTCAAGAGATAGCTAACAATATAAACTTTGGATAAAAAATACAAGGCACGAAAATCATATCTGACTATCTTTGAACGTCTTTCAATTCGGATATAAATAGGATTTCCAAAAAGAAAAGTTTTATTCAATTTCAAACTCTTTTATCTTATCTTTTCAAAAAGGATAATTAAGATCTTTTAGAAACTTATAGAAGCTTCCAATTAATCCTAATTGGTTTAGGAATGATATTAAATAATATGGACCCTCCACATGATCATTGGGTTGTAGTTAAGGTGGGCTTAGGTTCGATTTAGGCTCAATTTAATATTTTGGTGATAATTTATTCGTTATAACTCGGATTTGGGGTTATAATATATATCGTTGGAAAGATCTTTTCTTGCCTCATCCAAATATTCAATCATTGAACCCAGATAATGGACCAAAATAAACTGAAATAAATATTTTTTATAAAAAGGACACGAAATGAATGATTTTAAAGGACACGAAATGAATTATTTAGCAGGCACGAAAAAAGGAAAATAACTAAAGGTTCGGGGAAATGGGCTAGGAATTGGGTGTGGTTTATGAAATGAAAATATGGATTTGAATATGTGTTAGTTGAGACGATTAATACAAGAGGGGGGTTAATTGTATCGAGTTCCTAATGTCTACTTTTGCAGAATAATAAAACAATGCATATAGGAACTTGCAAGAACACACAGATTTTATGAGGAAACCTTCCAGGGCCCAACTGGAAGTAAAACCTTGACCCTTCCTTAGGGATTTCAAACACAAACCACTTCACTATAATAGGGCAAATACCAAGTTACAACCTTTTAACACAGACCTTTAATCACAAGTTCCACACTTGCTACCTGATAGGACCCTATCCTACCCAATCTAAGTACTGCACTTAGATTCACTCGTACTGCCAATGTAAAAAACTCTCAGCTTCACACTAGAAGCTTATACACTCTGTATGCAAAGTAAAAATAACAAACTCACCCAAATAACCCAACCAATATAAATGTATGACACCTAGTATATGATAGGCAAGCTATGCACGAAAACCGAAACTAATATGACAGGTTAGAAGCTAAGTAAACTTACTCTATTAATGCTCAGTGATTTCTCCACGCATAATCTCACAAAAACCTTAAACCATTTCGATCTCTACTATTTATACAAGTAGGACTTGTATAGCAAGTAGGCTTTCAAAAATATAAATAAGTTAACTTAACTTATCATTAAGATACGGTTTTATGAAAATCTATCTTTTTTTTTTCCTTATTAATTTATTTACCAAGCAAACTTTTCACGCTTCTAATAAATCTCGTGCATTAACCTACTTAACATATTAACAATAATCTAAAAGACAAAAACCTTAGCTAAATTAAATTGTTGCGCCATGCTTCTATATAGGTAGGTTATTTGGGCTCCACGCAGACTAAGTTCCTTCAAGGACCTTAGCTTGCTGACTTCAAGTTCCTGTTAGGGAACTCAGTTCTTGTTAGAGAACTTAGTTCTTGTGAGAGAACTCTTCTTCTTTTTTGTTTAACTTTTTGTATAAAGATCTCCTCATGTCTTCTTAGTTCCAGTTACTTCTTCCATCACCACGATCAACTTCACCTAAACTAATCTAACACTTGAAAACCTTTATTAGATGAGTTTGCTTTAGTTTAAGTTCCTCACCATCAAAACCTTTAGTTTCAACAATTTCCCCCTTTTTGATGACGACAAACTTAAGCAAACTCTTGAGAAAAGTTAAACAAAATAGAAGGGCTTGTTTTTGTATTTTTGATTTATTGAAAAAAACATAAACCCACAAATAACTAAAAATACGAAGACAAGAATGCAAAGATAAACAAAACAAAACATAAATAAGACTAAGGAATAAACTAAACTACTTAGCATCATATCAGAAGAAATTTCTAATACTTTATCAACTGGAACCCATAACAACTTTTGCCTCCAAGTTTGCTTCTTCTTTTCCCCTTTTGGCATTATCAAAAAGTCCTGCTATTTTAAGTTTACTAAGCATCTAGCCACAGCCCCACAAGCAATTCATCGAGTGTGGGAAACTGAAGGCAGCGCTGCTAACTTCCCTTAAGTAAGTTCCACTTTCCTGCATCAATTTTATAATGCACAAATACACACATGTATAGGCAGTTCCAAAAGCATTCATTAAAACCAAAATAAACATCCTGCTAAACAACTTTTTACAAAACCAAAATAAAATTGTTCAGAAACTTAAAAACATAAACTTAAAATGTTCATGACTAAAATAAGACAGGCTGGGATAGGCTAAATAAGCTAGGTTTGGAATAAAGTAGATCAAGTCTGAAGGAGTTCAAGAATCTTCTTGTTGTCCTCCTTGGTTTTCTGTGCAGAGGCCTCCAGCTTGTCTTCTTGAAACTTGATAGCCATTTGGAACTACTCCTTCTGAGATTTCTCTCAAGTTTCTGCACAGTTTTCTCCAACTGCTGCACCTTCCCAGTGACAGCCTTGATCACCCCCGTAGCTATATTAAGCTGCTTCTCAGCAGTTTCAACTCGATCAGTAAGCTCTGCCAGCTGCCCAACCAGAACCTTATCTTCTTTAGTATTAAGCTCTTGAGGTTCATCCATGCTTGTCTTAGGAACTGAGCTGGCAAACAGTCTCCTGCTCTAGAACCTCTTTCCCTTTTCTTTTTCCTCCTACACTCTTTTTCTCTTCTACTCTCCTCACCTTCCCATTCACTACCTCCAAACTGATTCCCTATAGTGTCTCACCATTTATCACATTCTCAGGTTTTTCTTCCAAACCTTTATAGACCCCTTTCAATTTTACACCAAGTGACTCAAACACGGTTGACAAAACAGCTCCATAGCCCACTTTGTTCTTTCCTAGAACACAATGTGCTAGATGTTGATACATTAGTGAAGGAAAGTTCACTTTGATTTTTCTAGAGAGATAGAAGATGACAGCCATATCCATCAAACATGTTTCACTTTTCTTTTGAGTTCTTGGTAGAATTGTTTTTCGAACCAAGTTGAACAACAATTGTTCAGTGGGCTAAGATTGTTGTGGCTCATGATATTCTTCCCCCTTTTTCCTCCTAGGGCTTGAGCAATATCACCCCCAAAACTCACCTACTTTCACAGCACCCTTTCCCTTAAGGTACATCTCATAACCCTCAGTTGGTACTTTCAAGATTTTTCCCAATTTTGCGACATCAAACTCAATTTTCTTTTTGTTAACTAAACTAGATATTTTTCCTTGCTTCACTTGGAATTTTCCACAAAATTCAGTCATTGCAGCATGATACATAACATTATTTGAAGCATTAGTTAACAAGTACTCCCACCTTTGAAATTTGATTAAACATGGAAATTCCAAAAACCTAGACTTCTTTCACCAAGATGAATCAAGTCTATGGCCAACAACATACCTCTTAACATCGGCATTGAGTTCCGATTGCTCATCATCATCTTCTTCCTCAGCCTCCTCTTTTTCCTCTAATTCATTATGTTCCTCTCCTTCTTCCTCTTCTCCATCGTCTTCATCGTCATTTGACTTAGCCTTCCAGCCAAATCATCAACCTCGACCATTTATTCCTCGAGTGTTTTTCCTCTCAACTTCTTTTCTTTCCATTCTTTGATCCTTTCAAAAACAGAGGATTCCTCTTGTTCATTCTTGCTATCCACTTCTTCGTTGAGTTTAGAGTTTGACATTGAGGGTTTTGGGTTCTCCTCGACTCTTTATTCCTCGACTCTTTGATTGATGTTGGAGAAGCTTTGTAGTTTACAATGGCTAAGGGAGA